CTATCTAATGAAAAACTTATTAAAGTATTTAACATTAGATTGTAGAAGAGTTATACGTTAGATAACTTTAGAAATAAAATCGATAAATAGTTTAATACGTCACGTTCGCTAGATCTTAACTCGTTGAAGGACGGAGGGCAAATGGAGATCTCCTTGTGTATATCTTCTAGAAGTATCGAATGCTCGGTGCTCGGTTGTTTACGTTTTGTTTCGGGTGTCTTTCTTCTGTTGTCACCTCGAGAAATTCCTGGAAATATACACACCAATTCATAATTGTCTGTAGGTGAATGTTTTATATTCTTTTTCTCTCTCTTTCTCTCTTACTCTCGTTCTTACTCTTTCTATATAGGTTAAAAAAAGAATAACGCTTACCTGGATGCATATGAAGATAAAAAAGAGTAAACACAATTTTTTGACTGAGTATATGTATTTCTGCTGCACTCTCCCAATGCATAGAAACCTAGAAAAGTAAAAAAAAATAAAATTACATTAGTGTATTAAGTACCATTGGTTAGTTTAGGCGCGAAACTGAGATACATCGATGATTATATCTCCCGTATTTTTTAATATCTCGTTTTGAAAACACTCACGTATGAAAATCTTGTCTGTAGCTATCGTTTGATGTATAATAGAAAGTTGTAAAATATTTTTCAATTACCTGGATTAAAATAGATGATGCAGTGCGCTGGAACAACTGACACATTCCAGTATGGCGTTTCCTCTGCCTTTCCCTGCTTTTCCCCTGCGATGCAACTGCTTTGCCACTGCGTCGCCACTGATGCGGACTTGCTGCGCAATATACTATGCGCAAAGCTTCGTAGCTCTGATGGCCTTAATAATTTTGCATTTTTTCTATCTATTCTAGAAAAATATCGAATAGTTAAAAATAGTATATAGGAACATAACAATTGTCGAAATATATATTTTATTAAGCAAGACAATAAAAATTGATCATTATAAGTCCATACCTATAGAAAGTATGTCGTAAAATAAGAAAATAATTGCATAGAAAAATGCATACCAAAGTACATGGAATTTTTTCTATATCGCATATTGTTTTTAACAAAAAAAATAAATATCAAATTTAAAATAATATATCAAACACGCAGAAAAGGAAATGGATTTATACTAAAAATTAAATCTAATTATTTAAAAATCTATTATAATATAACTATATTATATGTATACTATCACAAAGAATACTGTATTTATTGATAGTATTGTATCGTCATCGTTTAATTAATATTACACTTGATAATAATATTAATAATCGTGTGAAAAAAAAAATTAAATATTATTTATCTAATGTTAACTAAATGAAGCACGCTGTCACGTGTAATTCCACATTCTTTCAAGGAAGAACCTAATTCTTCTAATCGTTTTGGTGAATATCTATCGAGGAAAAAGGGAAAGAAATAAAACATTGTGAAAGGGATTTTAATTCGAAAATTAAATAAAAATAATTAAGGTATTTTAATAGAAAATCTATCGTACCCACTAACGAGGATCTTGTATCCTTTGTGCCAAGTTGCGGGTAAAGCTTCATTCAACAATTCGTAAAGTCTAGCGACGGAATCGTCTGCAGATAAATGAACGAGATAAACAGTGCCACCATTTAATGATCTTACCTTCAAACGAAGCTCCCCAGATTTTCCACTGGGCTCGTTAATCTGATACAAGATAGGAGGCTGAAAGTTAACGATGATCTCATTAATATTGATTTCATATAAACACGTAAGACGATACGATACGATCTAATAATCATAAAATGAGAAGTTGTAGATTAGAAAGAAAAAAGATTTTACAGCTGACTTCCTAGCATGCGTTGCTGATTTAGTAATACGAGGATTTCTTGGCGATTTCGATTCGGAAGATTTAACAGACATTCTAGCTTCATCTTCGGATAATGCTTTTGATTTATAAACACTCGATCCATTAACTCGACGATTTGATATACCTGCCGATCTTGATCGAATTCGAGATCGATCGTTGATTTTTTCTAAACGACTAAGAAATATCATATCTCTTATTTTTTTTATTTAATTAATAACCTGTAATTTAATATAGGAAGCGAGCTTCTTTACATTGGTGATAATTTTGAAGAAGATCTATCGAAGGAAGAACGTTGATTATTTCGTCTACTAGTCGGAAATCTTAAAATATTTGTCGATTTAGAATTCCTTTCTCTTACTGATAAATCGTATTCGGTATTTTTAGTTGCGAGATCTCGCTGTAAAAAAAGAAACCAAGGATTAAAATTAGATGCAAAAGGATTACACACACACACACACATAATTTGATTATATTATATGTATAACAATTATTATTTTGTACTTTTTCTTTACGACTACTCAAAGCTAATTCAGCATTAATGTGAGATTGAAGATGAGAATCCGAACAGACGTTGTTGTGTGATGCTAAAATTTGAGATCTCAATGAAACTATATCGATTGATTGAGACTCTGTAGAATTTTTTGATTTCAATGATCTATAAATAAACATCGATTTATTATTTATCATTTCAACGATGAATTATTTATAAACGAAATTTGTAAAACCTCGTGGTGAAAGAAGGAGCAAATTCAATTTGGCATGGATTATCTTTTTTCCTTGGACTACATTGACGAGAAGGACTCGATAAAATTTTCGAATTACGAAGGTGAATCGACGATGATCCATCCTTCGACGTTTGCTTTCCTAATCGATAACCATGGCCAGGAAAAATATTAACGTCGTTTGTATAAACTTCTGTTCTATGATTTTCGACCTATATAATTTAATATTTAGTAAATACTTTAAGAGAGAGCAAATCAAAAATAAAATTACCGATGAGATACGGAAAAAATAAATTACTTTGAAAGGAACACCGTTTGGATAGGTTTCCTGTAGCTCGGATGGGAAATAACCATCGAGGATATCACGTATGAAAGAAGCTGTTTTTGGATCGTTGTAAAGACGTAGAGGACCACCTTGGACGATCATTCCGTTCTTGTAAAATTTCAAGGATACGCAGGATTGCATCTTAAAAGATAAATATTGAAATTAATTTATTGAAAAGAAACTTGCTTACATGCTCATTTCAATCAATTAATTTCTTTTTGAGTTACGAAATAAGATCAAAGTTTTTTTTTCGTATAGCATCAATCAAAAATAAATAAAATAAGAAGAAAACTTTGAATTGAAAGTTTTCGAATGACAAATCGATGATTCATTTACCTTGAAACTTGCTCCACTACCTTTTTCATTATGATGTACGTAAACCTCTCCTTTTCCTGCGGCTACGTTTAATTGATCGATGTTAGCGATAAGTTGTTCATAATAAGTCTCTATGTAATTACTGAAACTCGTTGATAGTTGCTGATTAATTTGAAGGGTTATTTGTGTCATAGACAATTTATTTATTAATGGACTTACTCAATAGCGTATTCACTATTTAATGTTGAAGTGTCGTTATCTCCAACCCAAATCAATCCATAATCGGCTAAGAACTTCTACAAAATCAATCCGATTGTTTTTTATGAACAGATGCAATATATTTTGTTGACTAAATATATTAATAAATTAATTAACGCGTCTTGCAAGTTGTATAATAAGTAAAGAAAATATTTTTATGTTATTTCTAATCGACAAAATATATTTTCTTAGACTAGGGATCAAGTATTTTAATATTTAAAATTTTGTATCTAAAATATTGGACAATTAGCAAACAGAGAGTACTTAGAAGCAAGAAATAATTTTCCAAATTTAATATCGATGGATTTTATAAGATCATTCTGTTCTTTTTTTGTCGTTTCGAAATAATTTTAGTTTTAACAAGTGTATTTATAAAAAATGAAAGTAAATCGTATCGAACCTCCATTTCAAAGATTTTTTGTTCGAGTAGGAGGCATCGCTTGTAAAGGTACTCCGAATTGTTGATTTGGTCTGTTCGTTGTTGTTCCTTCTTCCTAAAGGTCTCTTGATTCTTGCATTTGATCTCCAAGTCCTTCACCTGAGCCAAATTATGTGACGTCGAACATTATCCCACGGTAAGATGTGTATTTATTCTTAGACGGCTAAAGCACGGCTAAAGAACCTTCCGTTTGAATCTTTCGATTTCTTGATCTTTGTTTTGCAATCGTTCCTCCGCCTTTGAAAGAAGATTTTGCATCTTTTGCATCTGTGACTCAGCCAGGTACAATTGTTTCGTCACCATGCTTATGAATTCGCTTTCTATAAATCATTGAACATTGACTTTTTCATAGTTTCTTCGATAATTTTATCCATCATTATTTTTAGATATTATTTATTAGAAAAAGGTATCAAAGGTTTTGTTTTTTTAACGATAATTCATACAATACCTTCTTCAATGATGTTATTTACATGTACTGGAACATTCGAAGATTTTTCAACATATTTATTGCTACTTGTCCATAATCGTCTACCGCTAATACACGTTCCTGAATTCTGTGAATACCAGAAATGTTTTGATTATATCATTTAAGTATGTATATTATCTTTGGAGTAAATAATCATTCGTACTGTTTTATTCATATCTGCCCACGAGGTGCCAGGATTAGAAATGATTTTAGATTTTTCTGATTGATCAATATTTTTAGTATCTAATCTCTCATTATCAGTAGCAATCGATATGTAAGATGAGTTAGATGGTACGCTTTTTAATCTGAAGAAATTGAATGTTAATTAATTTTGTATTCTGCGTGTTAAAAGAAAATTTTTATTTTTTATGCAAACGATACAAATTTGAAGATATTATTCTTTTCTGTTCTTTATTTTTTCTTTTTACCAGGATATTTACTATCTAATATATGTTTATAAAACCAATACAAAGATATGAAACAAAAATACTTGTGTTTGCTGTTACGCGAAGTAACATATTGATGTTTCTTTTTTGAATTTTCTGTTGAATCTGCCGGCTGACTCATCTTACGTAAGATCTCGTTCATCAAAGATGAATTTGATAATATTTACGTTAATAATTTTTTTAAGGTTAACCAAAAGTAACGTTTGTCGGTGATAATATTTGAAATAGGCTCTAAATGTGAAGAGAATTAAATGGATGCATGAAAATCGATGACAGTCTGCGTTCGATATATGTAAATATATGCATAGAATGTATAGTACATAAACAAAAAATGCAGTTTCATTTTGTTTATTTAGATTTTAGTTACATACAATAAATTAATGAATCGGATTTCAAATCTTTTTTACATATCTCGTGTAACTGAATTACGAAAAGTAAAAGTATATCTCGTATATATTATATATGTATGTATTGTACAATCTGATCGTCTTTGACCCATATAAGATATGACTGTACAGATGTTGAAGCTTACGATATATGTTTATATGAGTGTTACACACATATATAAAGAAATTTTTTCATGTCATTTATACGCAACACATAAAAATTATTTTCCTAGAAATAATAATTTCCATATGATGATATTCGTGAAAGTTTATTGGCGGGTTATGTATGTGTCAAGCGATGTTATCGATATTCAACTAAAAATAGCTTTTCATGCAATTGTACAAGATCCAAGACAAAGGAAGCTGGATATTTCTAGATTAATAAATAACCAAAATTCATTCATTACGATATATTTATCGACGATTCTCAACTATTTTTTACATATAAACAAATATTTAAAGTTGAGAATCTTTGGTATATGTTATCAATTAATTACTTTGTACAAGAACGAGTACTACAAATGTTAGATACGTTACTGTTAGAACCATGAGACGACGCAGTATCCTACGATCGATTATAATGAAATCTCTGCATTGTGTTTCATTAATCGTAACCACATTTCTCAGTGTATCCAGTGTGTTTTGATATCGTTTGTGTGTAAAAAGAAATGCTTGTGTATAAGTAAAACACGACAGTGAAAGATAGCAATATGGTCAAGAGTGGATAAAGCAAAAATTAAATGCCCAAGCATATTTGTACAGCCCACGTGATGATGAGCTGTATCATCAAATTATTGTTTCTGATATTTCGTATAAGAATAAAGCCGATATCAAATTGACCAATACACAACATTCGTATTAATATATTATTATTATTTTTTTTGTTAATCGATTCGTTGTGTATTATTTATAGAGACTTATTTTATCATACAAACATGTCGCGTGTATGTAAGGTCAGATCAGTTAAAAACCATTCAAGTGCATCATATTTAATATTAATACGGACAGCACAATACGATCTTGAAAGTATTTACAAAAAAATTTGTTGAAAACTTTGAAATATGAATAAATTATTATAATTAGCTCGGGGAATCGTTTTTTCAAGATACGTTCCTAAAGTGCAATCGCAGCGCCATCATGCACTGCGCTTGCGATCGAATGTGGGAAGGGCACCCAGAGTAGTGGGGGAACCGGCACGGGAGTCATGTTCCGCGTGCGAGCGAGTGTACACACGTGTGCCCCCTCCGCTCTCTTCTCGCCACGTACATACAAGCCGTGAAAGAACGAAACGGACGAAAATGTCGTCGCGGAAGAGGTCGAACATATCGTCCGAACTCTCGGTCCAACGCTGGAACTCTTCGAAAGTTAGTGAGTTTCATTTGTTTTCTTATATTATTAATAATTTACTTTTTCCTTTTCAATATTTTATTTATCATACCTGCATATTCTTTATTATTAAGCAATACATTTCCATAGTATCTTCTCAGTTATTCCATTTACCAGGTAGTTATTACAATAGATATATAAGCATTTGTGTATATTGAAATGCATAAATGTTCATATAAGAAAACTTACATATAGTTCATTTAGATATAGAAATTAGTGTCTATAATGAATATGTGATACGTAATGTTTTCTGTGAACAGTTACTATTGTGTCGATGATGATATTTAAAAAAAAAGAAGCTATTGTTTTTATGCACTGCACCCTCTTAACATAGTATCGTTAAATATCATTTTGTTTTTAATGTGTAGATAGGAGTAGATTTTCTCAATGAACAAATATACTTTGTTCATTGTGAGCATTTGCTTGTTAAAAAACACGTTTCGTTGTTTATTTCATTGAATGTAAGATTAATTTTGTTCATATATGTTCAGATTGTAATGAACGTTTTGTATCGGCATAAAAAGTAAAAATTCAAGTTGAAAAGGTCGAATCGTTGGCACTCGCCCTTTTTGGTCGTCCATCTTTAATCCTCCGTTTGTCGTGTCACGAATCTTTGAGCGAAAAGGGAGCAAGCAATTTATTTTTCTCTCTCTCTCGAAAAAGAGAGAGAGAGGGAGAGATGATGACAACTCAAGATATTTTGCGATGACGCAATGCGATCTCTCATTCTTTGGCCATTTCGCTTCGTAGAAATTCCTGGCTAGAAAACGTTCGGAGCTAACTTCGCAAGGTCTGCTTTGAATCTTGTTGCAAAATATTGACCTTGCTTTAAATCAATGACTCTAGCCGACTGTTGGTGATTGTATTTGTGCTTAACCCTTTCACGTTCGTTCATTTAATGGCGATTAAAAGTCTTCAAGTAGTAGTTTATTCTTTGAAAATAAATAGGGATTGTGCAGTTACATAAAAACAATTTTTCTTTCTTTTTTCCTTGTATTTATTACATTATTACCGTTATGTAAACAGCATAAATAGCTTAACAAACAACATTGTTCATTTTATTTCATTTCAAGTTGCATTGCTTCGTTCTCACGTGAGGTTATATACGTTTAACGAAGGAATCTATATATATATATATATATTATATAATATAGAAATATTCTAAATGGTTTTCAAACTATTCTAACTGCAAATATTTTCATTATCTTTTTACAGAAGAAAAATGCAAGTGCATAAAAAAAAATGATTATTCTTAAAATGCTTACTTTGCACTAATTATCTTTTTCTTTTTGATATTATTTTCTAACTTTACAAAATAAATAAATATATATTACTAATTTTTATTAGGTTATTTTTGTTTCACAACTACCTTATGAATTAATCATTTTTTGTTCTCGTATGTTGACACCTTCTTTTTATCAAGAATGTCAGGAGAAGTTTATTCATACAAAAACGAAAATTTGTAGAATTTCATTTCAAAAAATATCAATGATTATTAAATCTCGTAAAAAAAATAAAATCTTTATATTCAGCAGTTCTTCCGTAAAACGAAAAATAATGGAGATATTTGTATCGATAATTACAGTCAATTGGCTGTTGAAACAATTAAAATATGTTGATACTACATATGATTTCTTGTATATTGATATTAATTATATTGTAAGACAAATTATAGAATCAATTTTTCTTAGTCCACTGTCATTACACATTTAATATGGTAATATAATAGTTATTAGTTCATCCGATAGATTATATAATATACATATATATTATATAATACAAATAAAATTTACAATCCATAGATAAAACATTCATACGTGTACTGGACAATCACGTGTTCACTTTTGTGCTGACTCACAGTGTACGATTCCATTAGTTAAGTCGTGTGATCATCTTGATTGCGATTTTTATAAGCTCAACTACGGAATAATTAAAGTTAACCGCAAAACTTGTTCTTAGCTGAAATCGAGTAATTTACTGACAAAAAGTTTGTTTAAGCACATTAGAAAATTCATCTGGTCATCATTTGTGTACTTTTAATGATTATAATGTATTTGGAAAGGAAGAATATTGCAATGAATTTTTTGTACAATTCTTTTCATCAAATAAGTTAATTGCTATCGAGTTTAAGTTAATTTCGAAGTAAATTATTTAAAGTTTTTCCTTGATCATATTTCTTTCTTGTTTCCCTGTTCTTTTTTCTGTCTTTGTTATCATTGATTTTTCTTCATTATTTCAAATAATGAATAAATAAATAGAGATAGATTTAGATAAATAAATATGTAAACAAGTATGCGTTTATCTTTTAATTGTTTAGTGTCGACGTATCAATAATTTGCATGATTATCCTACACTCGATTTGCACCATTTATAATAGGGGGGAAAAAAAACAGAAAACAAACATGAGAATTTGTAATTAATACTTTTTGTACAATAATTTAAAATTCAATATGCGATTTATTATATTTTTATCCACGACGTAGTATATAATTATTAGGTGCCACGTCATTTTCCTATACAAGCTTACGAATTTTTTTATCTTACGAAATAATAGATGTTATCATTTCAAGAGGCTACTATTATCTTTTTCCTTTTTCGCGGTAATGTCTAATATGTATGTTATTTTTAATCATAAGGATTTTTGAATTTTTGCTATAAGTTTATTTGTATAAATATTCATATCTAATCATAATTTATCTAGTTATTTGACCATTTAAAATTTATCATTAAATATAATCAAATTGTTGAGATTAGTTTACCTTGACAAGTATTTTGATAAAAAAGATGGAACATAAAAAGAAAGAATATACGCTCAAAATCTTTTCGTTTGACTGTTTTTACGGATTGAACCGAATTTTAGTTTAACGATAATATATTAATTTAGAAAAATGTCAAGTTGAACGTAAGAATAGTTACAGAGATATTAAAAGTCGAAATTGTTAAAATCAGCAAATGAATCTCGCGATGCATGATAAATCTACAAAAACGTAAATTCTAAGCGTACATTAATTCTGAACCGAATAACAAATATTAAGTTTTAAATTTTAATCCAATATCAACACTATATGGTGCTTTTAGGAGTGAAAAAAGAGAGAATTAAATTTAGGTATATTGTAATTTATTTTTATAATACACGTCAAAGTACTAATTTACAAAGCGGTTTGTTTCTTCTTTTAATTTTCTTTTTTTCTGTTTTCAATCGTTTTTCGATACTTGTTGCCTTTATTTACGTAACTTTTTAACTGTTACGTTTTGGGTATTTACAAATTGCTTACGTATTTAAACTTTGACCGCTCATATCTCCGAAACCATTACTATGTTCAATTTGATATTTTTTGTCAATTGATTACGTCATTTAGAAGTTAATATTTAGATTAGTGGTGACTAAACTTTTTCTATTCTCGACGTTCTTGTTGAATCCAGATTTTCTCAAAGCACTCTATGTTCAATTTTATCAAGTATACTTTAGATCACCAAAAAATCTAATGGAAAAAATCCAACTTATTATAATGATTAATGTGATAGATATTAGGAATTTAAATGAAGATATCAACCCTCATCTCCTTCTTCATATTGATTTTCGCGCGATACTTAAATTTTATCATAGCAACTGCCGAAAATTAATGTGAAAACAACTTCGCACAAACAATAAGTCACAAATAGAATTATCATTATAAAAATTTTGTGATAATCGTATTATACAAAGATTAGGTTTTCGAAAGCTATTGCAAGATTTAAATAAATTTCGGAGTACTCAGAAATGTCGTCATTTTTTTGTATTCGAATTAATACTCATCGTTTCGGATTACATCATTAGAAGTATACATGAAGAATAGAAATAAATATAAATACATGTATATACATATATGCATATATGCATGCATATATATATATACGTATGAAATGTACGATCTGATGTATTTACGTAAAACGTAATGAATTAAAAAAATTAATAGTTAATTATAATTTGAAATTGTAAAAAGATGGTAATTTTCAACAGCCTAGCATACTAATGTTTAGTTGATGTATAATCGACACATAATTATGATCTTATGTGATCATAGAGGACGAAAAAATAGTAATTCCTCATATGCCAGTAATGAATTAAATCTTATGTAGGTAAAAAATTGGTTGAAAATTTATACAAAAATAATCGTATCATTTAATACTGAATTAATATTGCTAGATTATTAAACTTTTCGTAAAAATAAAATGTAGTATGAATGAATAATAAGTATTATGTTTGTTTCATGAGATTTGGACATAGCAACGAATATACTTTCATTAAAATATACTTAGTATTCTGCAAAAAAGAAACCGCAAATCATGCTAATAAAGTTTCTTGGAAGATAGAATTACCTTTTAGAAAATTAATTGAGAAATAAAGGTACGTGTTTCTCTTATACTTCTGATAATAAATTACTTAATGAAAGAATTATATATTGTCGTTCTAAGAAACATTTAAAAAAGATATTGAAGAAAATCGATCATAATCCATGGAATCTTAATTTTTTGTTAATTTTTCTAATTGAACTATATTTTTATTTCTAACGCGATATGTTGTTGCGTATCTTTTAATTAACTTACTTCCTATTATCTATATAGATGACTTTTCTTTTCTTCTTCTTCTTCTTTTCAATTCTTTTAGATAAAAATTGTTTGATTCTATTAAAACAAGAATGCGAAAGGAAATAACTTGGGGAAACAATTAATTTGAAATGTGTTAATAGTTTTATATGAATGAAAAAAGTAAGAAGAGAATTTCTTATTTTGAAATTGTATTATTGCAATATTTCAATGTTAACAAGTAATGTGTATAGACAGAAAACTTAAATAATTTTATGTAATAAGTGCCTTATTTTCGTGAATGGTCCTAGCAATAATGAACAGTCTTTTCTGAAATAGATAAAATAATGTTACTTATACAGTATACTTATGCACCGTCATAATAGTGTTAACAAGAATAAAGTTATATCAAGAAAACTTCACGGAACATAAAATTTCTGATCGTAAAATATTCGAAATTATTTATAGAAGTGAGATTGGAACCATTACATACTATATACATATTACAATATATAATAATTATGGTAATTTTTTGTTATAAAAATTACAAAATATGCATATATATAATACAATAGTTATTAATGTATGAACTTGTTTCAATTTTTTCTACTTATATGAAAATTTCAACGAGTCTGATTTTGATTATCGTGTTTTAATATTTTATTTCTCTTTTACTCCCCCCACTATTTTTTTCTTCCACTATCTATCATTATATTATTCCGTAAGGCGGTCGGCGACTCGTAAAGAAGACGGTGGCGGTGGGATTGGAAAACCAGAAGAAGAAGAAGAAGTAGAAGGCATCTCTTCGGTGTTCAATCGACATTCAGTACCGACATGCGACGAGAGTGCATCGAATTTTTCTTCCATCGAGGGTGTATACCATGTCGTTGATCTTGTTAAAAAAAATCAGTTCGTCATCCAGCTAGAAGAAAACCATGATGATAGGACTTTGATTCTCGACAGTTGATTCAGAACAATTTGTGTCATCGTTTATTTGAATTATTTCGGGATTGTTTTTCGTTTATTATTTTTGATTTAATCCTTCTTTTTCGGTATTTTTTGTACGGACAAATCTGTGATCACACACACATTGGTAAGGAAATATTTCAATATTAGAAATAATAGAAAACAAATTATTTACATACGTGCATAATACATACACAAAGAAAAAATGTTAGTCATCGTACATACGCATACAAATAATTGTTGTATTTATATTCATGCATTTTTTTGTAATGAGTGTCGATATGCATATTTCTTATTTGTAACGAATATGAAATATGCTTGAGTTTCAAGATATTCTTATACTTTCAAAAGATATTGTTATAAGAATTATGTTGATTTGAATTCATTTTAATTGACTGATCGATCTTTTAATAATGTTTCATAGGATTAGCAACAGGTGTTGTCAGTAGCATTTGCATAAATACATTTACTAGGAACAAGCGTGACCATAACGAGTTTAGAGTAAATTAATTTTATAAGTATATTATCAGATAACCTCTTTAAGAAATTGATTTCGATATTTTGTATTATTTGTTTTACATTTCGTTATTTTAATTTCAATTTTAATTTTTTTTTATTTCTTTTCATATATTATAGAATGAATTTTAATAGATCTCAGGTGAAATACAATAAGTTCGCATTCTTTTTCGTTGGGGAACTTAAGGATTGTGGGTGGTAGTATGAATAGCTTGTTGGAATTCTTAAGTCGTTAGGTCGATATGAAATTCTGGGATATACACGTTGCCTTATTGATCTTAAGGTCAGTGAATAACAATGACATTAATAAAATGCATTGTTGGCATCGTATTTTTTAATTTTTTTGTTTTCGTTGGTCAAGTAAAAATTTTTCGAAAGAGCAATCATAATCAATTTATCGTTTATTAAATAAAATGAAGTATAATTTCAAAAAACTGCATTGAATAACAATCAAGAATTTAAATAATTAATATTTTAAGTCAGACAACATCGTGGTAGTTGTACGTACATAGTTATCTAGTAATTATAAAACCAGGAAAATAATATTGTTCGCATATATAATGAATATTTATAATAAGTTATACATATAATCAGGTTTCTATTGCACAACATACAAAGTTTTTTACAATATGTCTTATCATTACTTTACTTAAAGTTATATTTTATATTAAATTTACAAATTTATGAACAATTTTTAATTTTTAATTTTATTTTTTGATAGTTAAAAATGAAACCAAACAATGGTTTAATATGTTATCTTTACATAAATATTTCATTTATGTTAAAAATATAGATATTTATTCTATAATATATAAATATTTTAATATAATGACGAAGCTTCTATCGTTAACATGTACGATATCGTTGACATTCAAGCTTTGTGGCGGAAGTTACATAAAAAGGAACAGATTCTGCATGTATGATTAGTAATTATATATCTATAGAACGCTATGTTGCACCAATTTACGCCAGTCGCTTTACGAAAACACAACAGAACGTGTCTCATTTAATTTCAATATTTCGCAAAACGATTCTTTTGTTTTTCTCGATTTGTTAATATGACGAAAACAATTATTTATGATTTATTTCTTCATTGTTCGTAATTACTAAATCATAAGAGAATAAGATAATCAAAATAATTATTTCATTTGTATTTTTTCTTCTTTTCTTTTTTTTCTCTGTTCTTAGAATCCAAGAAGATCCTTATTTTTTCAATTAAGAAGGGATAAATTCCATTTGTACTTACTACTCCACAAAAATGGAAGACTCACCAAGGTAAATATTACATGTAATCGTAATACAAATTCCATGTACTGTGATAAAAAAGTTATCTATATCACTATATATGATACGTAATATTTTTTCAATATTACGTAGTGTTTGTATAAATATAAGGATATTTTAAAATATGAACGTATTCCTTTCATAGATACGAGGATCCCGGGATGTATAAAAAACGATCAACTTGTAGTTTACGGAGATTAGGAGGTAAGATAATAATGATAATATATTTCTTTTCTTTTTTTTTTTTTAAATATCGTGAATTATTATTATTATATAAATATTAATAATAATATTATTATTATCTTTTTATATTTTCCTAAATACAAAGAAAATGTAAAACTATTCGCATGCATAATTAACTTGAACTATTGTCGTCACTTTAACGCAAACTACTTTTTCATAGTACTGTTATTCTTCTTAGTAAAACGATCGATAATTCGTATAAAAGAATATTCTTCTTATTCGTTGAATAGTACATTCCGGATGTAAATAGTTGGTATCGATTTGTTCGTATAACGATATCATCATAGTAAGCAGATACTATTGTCATTTAAGCAACACCTGAGAAGGTTTTTCAATAAACATTGGTATAAATAATTTATGTTTATTTTACTTTAAAATATAGTTACCGTATATAATTAGTCAAAAGATAAATAGTTAAATAGCGGAGTCATACTTACGTTTTACATATATATATTGTGAAGATAGATAAAAATGAAATATTCATTGGAAATTTAGTTTGCTCATGTACTACTTATATATTAACTTATTTCTTTTAATTCTCTTGATTGATTGATTCGCACTCAATTGAATAGTGTATAAATACTGTCAATCGTTGTTCTCTTAATTGCTTCAATAAAGAATTTGAACGATCCGATAACGCATTTCATTTGTGTTTACGTTTCAGACATGGTGCCAGCACGAGTTGTTCTCTATATGCTTTCTTTTTCCGGGTTTCTTGTTTCTTTTATGATGAGGACTGACATTAATCTTACAATGGTGGCCATGGCAAAACCAACTATGATCTCGAATGCCACGGTCACCACAGATACGTCTCATTATTGTTACAAATCGGCGAATCTATCGCACGTGGAAAATAACAACAGCAGCAACAGCAGTAACGTTGTTAGACTGGAGGTATAGAATAATCTTATTTCGATTATTATCTTTTTAGTATATAGTCAATTTCGTCAAACTTTTACTTTGGAATAGACTTAGGAATCTATTTCCTATCGTGATACCTAATTCGATCGTATACTTTACGAATTGTCACGTAATACTATTGACTAGGTTCACGTTTACTTCGTAGTACTTACGTAAGTTGAGATCAGTTTTAGTATTGCGTATTTAAAACGTTTTACGTAAATTATTAGTAATAAAATCACGCTTTTTCTATACTTTGTAAATTTTAATACGAGATCGTATAGATTTCTTTTTGTAAGAGAAACTAACAAAATATGTGACAAGTCATGCATATAACGAAGTATAGGTATAATTCTTATAAAAAATAAGAGAAAAGATTTATATAAATTTGTTTATGAGTGTGTGCTGAATATAACAGTTTAAATTCTTCAACAGAAGTCGTTTGAAATTTTATATAATCTTATGTTTTCTAATATGTAAGAGAGATAAAGAAATGGTTTTATCGATCGTATACTCCACATTTTATTATTTGCAGGAAGAGGGTGAGTTTGACTGGAGTCCAGCCATTCAGTCTGCCATTCTTGGCTCCTTTTATTGGTGTTACATCTTATCGCAAATAATCGGTGGCGTTTTAACTCAATATTTTGGTACAAAGACCGTCTTCGGTGGATCCCAACTTTTGACTGCAATTTGCAGTTTACTTATGCCCAGTGCTGCTGAAATTCATTACGGTGCTATGATAGGTCTTCGAAGTATACAAGGAATCGCTAGTGTATGTTGAATCATTGTAATCAACCTTTTCGCTGCTAACAGTGACTATAACCAGTCAATATCTGACACTGGCTATGTACTCACAATGATTATAGTCATTCAATATCTAATGCTTGCAGTATACGACCAATGACTATAGTCACCCAAACGTCATGCACTTACTATCTTCTACTGCTAACTATAGTCGCCTATTGATATTATGTCACAGTTTACAATTTTTTACATGCATTATATATTTTAATATCCTATCTATATATTTCTTTATCTATTATTTATATTAAATGAAGACACGTACAGTAGAACCTTATTCGTATAGTAGAAACAATAATTCATGAGCCGTATATTCTTGACGTAGTTCTATTGAAAGGGCTAAATATGTTCGTGTAGGTATTACCCTGTATCGTGGTAGTGCATTTGCTAGTAAAGATGACTGTAGCGAAAAGGTTCATTTGTAATGTTTCTTTTATAGAAAAAATATGGCAACATTCGAAAACATAGGATATATTTTTCTAGGGGTTAACTTGGCCAGCTATGTATGCCATGGTTGGACATTGGATTCCACCGTTAGAACGATCTCGTTTCATGTCTTCCTTTCAAGGTAAGTGTTCAGATAGCTGACACTCTAATACAAGTTCTTTTGTGTGTTACAGTGAAACTTCGATACGTATCGAATCATATATTATTATATAATACTATTATGATTTATCATGTTTCCCAAATCATTTATAATATGCGGAGAACAATAATACGTTGTTTATATTGATCTCTGTTGACGATTATAATCCCTCGTGATATACTAATGCACACTTCTTTCAGACTGGAATGTACGGAAGTTCGAATGAGAAGCTATTCGCAACAGCAAACTATATTTACTGTCAAAATTCAAGTCCGGATCAAGAAATTGATAAATTTTATATATTATGTGCATATGTAAATGATTGCGATGCTGTCTTATTATTTTATATAGACACGATTATTTTATGACAATGGTCACGATCGTTGATATTGATCTTTTTGATTGGTTTAGCTCCACACGTTGGTTGCATTCGCCGGACCGAGGGGTATACTCATCAGCGACCACTCAACAGCATGAGAAAGGCCGAGTATACTTCCAGCTGGTAGAATCAGCCGGACTCTACGTGCACACGTTGTATAATGTTATTCGCTCATTATCTTACATGTCAGTTCTGTCTTTCCAAAATCTACATTCGTTCGACACGTGTTTCTAATCATTCTTCTCACTCAAACTTTCTCAGAGACTGACCACAGACCGAATAGATATCAATATGTTTTTTTTTTTTCTTAGATATTGTACTTTATTTAAGAAGAATAAGAAGAAGAAAAAAAAGACGATATTACCTTATATCGATCTCTTTTGATTGTTCTGTATTATATCGTCACGTACTGTATACCTTTTACGTAGAATGTTCTCTATCATTTTTTGTTTATACATTTTTACTTTACATACGATTAAAACGTTCATATAATATGTCGACATATTGAAAACATATTTAAACGTAAAACATAGATACGATTAGATTTGTGTTAGGGTTGCGTCAGGGTTGCGTCTCTGCGTAAGACGAGTGTTTACTCATTTAGCGGTGAGAGCTATTATATGCTCGAACTGTTTTCAGGTATAGAAGTTTCATTGTCCCACTGTACAGCCTCATCATTCATCACACCTCGTCCCTTCGTATTAAGTCTCTAGTTGAATCGCTTTACAGGGTTGATTCATGCTCACCATCATCCAGGAGAGATCATCGACGGCGCGTGCGTGCTAATCGTGAAACGAGCCCGGGCCCCGAGGTCATTCGACAAGCCTCATGTTTCAGCTTCCTTCCTGGTCGTGGGGTGAGCCATTCCTAACATCTAGATTATCTATATTCAGGGTTCAGCTTTGGGATTGGATTGACCTATCCGTTGTGCGGATTCATCATCGCTCATTTTGGATGGAAAGTGGTTTTCTACACGACCGGTACCATCGGATTAACATGGTGTCTCTTCTGGTACTTCTTTGCTTTTGACACACCAGCCGCTCATCCAAGGATCTCTCAACAGGAGCTACGTTACATACGTGGAAGCATTGGCAATCAAGTTTTGGGAACGAGCGAGGTAGATTTTGGGTACTATTCTTAATTAAAAGGAAACGTTATTTTGTTTCTACAAATATTTGCATTTTTTCAAGGGAATGCCCGTACCATGGAAATCGATTCTTATGTCGTGGCCAGCTTGGGCCATTGGTATTACAACCTTTGGAAGAATATGGGTCCATTATGTTTTTATTATTTCTGGTCCGATGTATATAAAAACCGTCCTGGGATTTAGCATTCAGGCTGTAGGTGTTCTGGAAAGCTTCAATAGCATATCAAATATTTTTAAGCATTGAATTTGTATCACATAAAGACATATTCTTTTTTCAGAATGGCATTTTGTCAGGATTGCCATTTATCTGTAGTTATCTGAGTTCCGTAGTATTTTGTTATGTCGCCGATGTTTTGGTCAATCGACAAATCTTATCTTTGACGAATGTTCGCAAAGTTTTCACGATGTTATGTAAGTTTTCATTTCATTCAAGCAGATTATTATAGGTAGTAATTAATAATCTTATTATATATATATATATATATTCCTTTTCTCTTTGTAATATTTCGTTGCGATTTATTTAGCTCAAGTGATTCCTGGAATTTTCGTGCTTCTAATCGGATATCTGGGATGTAATATAATTCTTGTAGCAATCATTTGGTTCATAGCTGTTATACTTATAACTGCTTCCTATGCTGGTGCAATGGCTAATATTGTTGACATAGCGCCAAATTTTGCCGGTAAGTTTTCATTGTTTGTACTTACACACATTCAGAGAGTCAGATTTTTAATTAGTTTTTATTGTATGTTTATCGTAGGTCCTGTATTAGCATTCGCACAAACTATTCACATGACAGCTAGTTTTCTATCACCTATAGCAGCTGGTCTGCTCACTCAAGAAAGCGTAAATATAATTTTTTTTTATATTACATATTTTTTTATGTCATATTTCTTTTTACATTAGTTCTCTAATTCTATGATAATTTTGTATCGAATAATTTACTCAACAGCAAGCACTCGACGCTTGGAGAAAAGTGTTCGGAGTAACTACGTGTGTAGCTTGTAGTACGTATATCGTATATCAAATCTTTGGCACTGCCGAAATTCAAGAATGGAATTATCCTGATCAAAAGTATCCGCAATCCGTTCAAGAAGATTCTCAACCTCTTAACGAGTCACCTAGTAAGAACGGAAAAATAGTTTCGAATCGAGACAATATAGTTGAAGAAGCATAATGTGTATATGTATATATGTACAGTAGACTCCTGAATAACGCGTTGCATAAATTCCCATCATAAAAAATACCGTGATACGAAATCTTTCTTTTTATTTTACCTGAAATAATTTCACATTTTTTTAAGGATATATGCATGTTGAGAATGAAATATGAATGTTGAGTAAATTCTTTTACTAAAAGTATTCTTGATAAACTAGTGTGGTCACAAATTATTATAAAATTGTTATAAAAATTACGTTGTAAGAATAACTCGCGTTATAAGAGAATCTACTGTATATGTTTATACATAGATGCATTTAAAAAACAGGATAAAGTATAAACAGAGATAGGAAACTATCGCCTTATCGTCTGTACTGTTTTTCTGTTGTCTGACGCGTCTCGTTTTATCAAGTAGATCTTATCGGTACATAATTTTGTTATGAAATTATACGTAAGAAAACTTAATTATGACCGATATGAGATTCTTAGGATATATTTGGTATTTTTATCTTATAATAAGTTTCGCACACTACCAATCATTTTATTTATAATGTTTAAAATATGATATAATAGGGAACAAAGTTCGAATTTCACTAGTTAGAGTATAATATTTCCTCACTTACAATTAGTTTATATTATTAAGAAGATCTCGAAACATTAACTTCTTATTTTTCTTACATTAATCAGACATCAGAGTTTCAGTTAATTTTAATATTATTGCATATTAGTGAGAGAACAATTATTTGTGAGCATGTAAAAGCTCTCTAAGATTGGTTATTCCACAAGAAAGTACTTATTTTCAATGTTGTCTTCATATGTCTGTAAATAAGAATTATAGTTATTGCTATAATACAAAAGTTATTCACATAGAAATCAGGGTATTGTATATTATATAATGCTAAGAGAATATTTTTATGAGGTAGTTTTATCTCAGGAAACAAAAGAAAGGATTAAAACTATTATTTGAATTTGATGTTTAGATTAAAGATAAAAGAGCACAAAGACTCAGTGAAATAATAATTAGCAATTTATATAACATTGTTTTTAATAAAGTAATTATATTACTTTATTATTTCCTTTTATATATTTTCTGTGATCGAATCTTCTTTTATTTTATTTTATTTTACTTTATCTACTTCCTTTTTATTTTTATTTTTATGAAAATAATTACTCTTCTTACTTAGTATATCACGTACAAAAAGATCTCGTAAAGATATCACGTGTGTTTAATTACTTAAACTTAAGAATGGTAATTGGGTGGTATTATAATAGAACGGATGCCGAGAAGTAGAAAGAAAAAGGGATCGGAAGAACGATAATTAAAAAAAAAACAAGACACGATAGGAGAATAAAAACAATGCTAATCATTTGTTCCAATTCGCATTTTGCTTGATTTTATTAAATCGTAAAAGCAGGTATAGTATTTGACATAGTTGTTGGTTAAAAAAGAAAAATATATCCTAAAATTGACAACACTTTAAGATACATAAAGTAGAATTACAAGAACAGAATAGATAATGGACGATAGAATATATATTACATGAATGACAGAAACTATATTCTGTACTAATCAGTGCCTTGATGTAGGTACATTTCATTTATTAACTTAGTAAACTCCTTGTCACATCTTCAAAGAATCTTAATACTATGTGTACCTTTACGATATATTTGATTTTCAAAGTGTCTAGTCGGAGTTTGTAAACGATCCGAATCCCTTTATCGAACTAATGGGATAAAACACAACAGATTTTTTAAATATTTATGTAATCCTCATGAATTTTCAACAAACTTCGATGCACTAATTATTAATTATTAAATGTTTTATTATTTTTTATTTTTAAATAATAAGAAAAAGAAAAAAAATAATAATAGGATAATTATTTTTGCAGTTAAGTTGATAAAATTATATAACATAAGCGTCGTAAGAATTCCTTTTTAATAAGTTAACACACAAAATATTGAAGCGTGTTTGCTTAAAAGTATTATATGTGTAACACTTTTGTACTTTCTTTTCTCTCTGTTAGAAGATTTATATCGTTGAATAATTGTTTGTATGTTAATCGATTATCGATATACATGAACCATGATATATTCGATTTTTATTTGATTATTTGTTAAAACATTTTTACAATAATATTGTTATCTTCATTCTATTCGCATCATTACAGATATGATAATGATGATGTGTCGCATACAAAACGGCCATTAAACATCACATGTGAAAGACACTAATAATAATGTTACACTGCATTTGACAAAAAGTAAAATTATATCCAGTTTTAAATAAATGTCGCATATATATATATAAGTATATATATATTTCCAGTTATTGCGATTAATTCTTTAAATGAAAATTCAAGATAGAAGATATTATGATCAAAAATTATAATAAATTATACTAAATTGACGTAACATAGTTTATAGTAAACAAAATTTCCATATGGGTAATGTCTTAAAACTTTCATGTGCCATCATGTACTACAGCCATGATAGTAATTTCGAACTTAATAATTATATTCTAAAAAGTGTATTTGTAAAATCATTTTCACATTGTGTGTATTAGACAAATCTGGATTGTCGCATTTTCTACCGTTTACAATGATGCTTATTGTTTGCTGTTCACGACATATAGCGATAGACGATCATCGCGATTAAAAAAATCCTCGAATCGAATGTCGAAATTCTAAAAGACATTCAACGGGCTAATTGCCAAAGGAAATGGCATTGATCCTATTTAAATGAAAATTATGTGTAAAACTTAATACGAAATAAATGTATATATATATATATATATATATATGAACTTAAAAAAATACATATAATATATAATTTAATATACAATCTAATATAATATAAGATAATCTATGATACAATATATTATATATAAAATATTATATATATATACATATATAGCCTTTTTAGAATATTGAAAAAACAATAAATCTTTAGGCCTTGTACTTTCACATTCTCAATTGCGAGAATCTAATGCAGAGATTGTCGAGAAGAAGAGGGTTGAAAAATTCAAAGATAAACGTTATTAGCATCCTCTTGATAAGGAACTATTACAAACAAGTTTGTGAATGAACGTTAATGCAAAAGAAAATGCTTTTATCCGTTCATTATAAATTTTCAATGGAAAACTTTAAATGAGGTCGTTTAAAAAAAAAAGAATATAATGATAAGAACTAAAGGTGCGAATGACCTGGTAGAAGAAATGATAATATGAAATCGATAAGATGAATTTTGTTCAGAAGAAAATAATTAATAAGTAAAGACATTTTTCGAATTTTAAAACAGAACAAATAATGTTTTTTCCTTCTGAATTTTTTTTTCGAGTGTCATCGAATTGCGTCAATATCGATTTACGTCAGAAACGATTAGTATCGCTTGATGATTATCAATCGATCGGATAAGTTTCTATTGAATTTTTTAATTTAGAAAATGAAGAATTACTATAAAAGTAATATAAATTGCGAAGGATGCGAAAAAAAGAGAAAAACATTTACTAGAACAAAATGTGAACCCTTTTATTTCAAGGTCGATCGGAAATCGATTTTCTTTTTTGTTTGAACTTCGCACTATGAATGCTTTTCTCGAGGACTTTCTCCCCTCTTCTTTTCATCGAACGCGTTAATTTCTCATATATATTGCGTTACGTTGATCTGTTTCTCGGATAGCGTCAGAACGATAACAGCTAAAATAAGAGAGAGAGGGAGAGAGAAAGAGAGAAAGAGAGAGAGAGAGAGAGAGAGAGAGAGAGAGAGAGAGAAAAGAGTGGGTGAATGAGAAGGGGGTGGGGAAAAGGAACGAGCCATCGTTTATGTATTTATCGAGATATCTGCAGACAGCGTAAGATATAAAGGGCACCTAGAATACGACGTAGCCAGTTGTTATAATCAATTTATATTCGTTAACATCGATTTTGAAAAGGGAAAGTAATATTTGAAAATTTGGAAAAATGCGGTAAGTGATTTTGTTTTCGTATTTTATCAATTGTATATAAATATACGTGTATCTTTTTATTATTATTATTATTAGTAGTAGTAGTAGTAGTATTCACATTGTATAAGCTAAGTTGGTTTATATTTTTCTATAGAATTTGGGTTTTGGTAACTACTCTTTTGATAGTCAGTATACTGACTACAGAAGTATTTGGAAAGGAGTCAAAGTCTGAGACGGATGAAATTACAAATGGAGGTCATGATTTAGACAAAAATAAAAAAGAAACAATTAAATCCGAGTCGAAGTAAGTTATATGTTAAACAACTTTTCGAATCTTATTTCTCTTACAACTTAACAGAATTCTTGACAACAATTTATTTTGCGATAAATCGTTTTAGGGTAGAAACTTCGGGAAAGGATGAAAAGCACTTGCGGGAACAAAATAAATCGAAAAAAAAGAAAAACAGTTCATCTCCTTCGATCGAGGTAAATCCTGAAATAAGTAATTCGGTTGGATCAAAGGGATCGAAAAAGTCACGGAAATCTCGAAAGTTGAATCAAACGGCTAAGCATAATAAAAGGCAAAGGAAACAAGGAGAAGAATTAGAAAGCCGAAATTCAAATGGCCAGAAAGTGCGACACGAGAAGGAAAAGTACAAGAATAAAGGTATTAATGGGCAAGCAAATAATAATAAAAAGCATAATAAAAGGCAAAAGAAGGATTTAAAACATGTTAATGAGATCAAGGAGAACTTAGTCTCAAATAATAAGAAATTAGATCATTCGGATTTCGATGTTGTTATTGAAAATAATAGACTTCGTAAAAAACACAAGTCTAAGAATGTTGTTGAAGAAATCGATTTGACGATCGACAATAAATCAAATTCAGATCGTAAAAATCGTCTAAAAAAGAACAAGTGTAAGAATTGTAATGAAGAAAATGTAGAAGAGGAATCAAACGTTTCAGATAATGTAGAAGAAGAAACAGGTAAGATAACGAAAAAGAAAAAGAAACGTAGTGTAGATAATAAGGCAGATAAAAAATGGAAAAAGAAATTATCTCATTATCGAAATGAAATATCAATGGAAGATAATGAGAATGAGTATGAGGATAATGATGAAGAAAATGAAAAATTAGAGTTGTCATCGGAAAACGAAATCGATTACGAAGAAAACATGAATGCTAATAAAGAGAATAATTGTTACGAGAGGGAAGGGAATCAAAACGAAGAAGACGTTGATGAAGAAACAAAAGACGCTTAAAATTTTGATGGTAGATTTTTGTGTTGTGATTAGAGAAAAATTGAAGATATAAAGAAAGATTTCTCGAACAGTTTCATTGTTATCCATTAGAAATAGATTCAAATGTGCCTGATTACACTCAAGGAAACGATAAATACTTAATGATATTTATATTTATTTTAATCTATTTACATAATGCGTTATATACCAAGTTCAAGCTTTATATCTACTTGAGTTGCTATTTACATCGTCGAATTTCTAGTCTTAACACTTGTCCGGAATAACTTCTTACCGCTCATTTATCTCAACTGGATGTGCTGTAACATAAAACAGGAAAAAGATAATATTTATTACATTTATATTTTTTGTTTTTATTATTTATGCAAATACGATGCCTGATAATAGATAGATTTTCAACGTCTTGTCGATAATTATAATTTATAACGACATCTGTGAGTAAGACTATTTCTTTTTTTATTGTTAACATTGAGTAATATATTCAAGCGACAATATCATAATCATTATTATCGACCAAGTATAAAGCATTGTCTGTCTTCAGGTGTTATAAATTTTTAAAATAAACAATTAATAATTAACTGTAATGAAATTTTAAATATAGCTGATTTCTACGAAATATTATCAATTTAATTATATTTTCATTGTATTGACATATACATATGTAATTTTGAAATTTCATATACAATATTTTATACTTACAAGTGGATTGAGCCATGAAAAATGCTATCCAACCAGTACCAATGTTATTCACTGTCGAAGTATATTCAACGATAATTCTATTTCCTTCTGTTTCGAATCTTGCTGGTTCGTCCTATAAAAATAATAATCAAATAAATAAAAAAAGATAATTTTTAAATTTAAAAAGAGTCTTTATATTATTATCTACTATCCGATAATCAAAGAGACAGAAAAAAAGAAAAAACTTACCCCTCCACAGTAAACATTTCTAAGCGTATTTACTCCGTCTTTAACGTAATCATAAATTTTCACGTTGTTACGCTCGCAAGTTTGTTTGGTTCCAATATCAAAGAATGTAAATTTGAGAATGATTTTAAAACCACGAGGAACACTAACATCCCAAGTACACACTGTATTATTTCTATATATGTCTGGGTACATTGGCGAAGTGAAAGATCCCCCATAATTAAATATAGTACCACCACAACCACGTCCTGTGAGATAAAAAAAAGTCAAAGGGAAAATTTGAATATATTCATTTTTATATTATTAGAATGAATTTTTGTATTATTGGGTTGTCCCATAAGTTCCTTCCTTTTTTTTATGCAACTTCATTAGAGGATATTTGTTGTTTAAGATTGATTTACTGTATTATATATGAACCCTTTTACTTTATTGCCTTCTTACATCTCTCAGAAAGGAAACCTGCATGTCTACAGAAAAAACTTGTCGCAGAAAAAACTTATGGGACAACCTAATGTAATTACCTGCTTCTGTGGTAACATAAGTAATATCATAACCATCATAAGCATTAGCTTCTTGTACCCAAGAACGTAGACTGAGCTTATTGCCAATACTGAAAATTGGATTTGGAGTAGTCATACCGCAAAGTATTGCTAAAACATTACCGCTAAAATCTCCTTCTCGAATCTACAAAATAAAAGTATTAGAAGATTATTAGAATTCATATGGTTGTAGTAAATAAAACAAAAAATACATGATAAAATTATTTTCACCTGTAGAGCATTATGCGTACACTTTTCATCGTCGTATAGTCTGAAATTATTGAAATATAAGGAGATTGTACGATTGGGCAAAGTGGTGATCGTTATCCAACAATTTATAAGTCCTTGATGAAAGATTCTTCCTTGAGTTTCACTTGCCGTGTAATTTTGATCACAATTAGATAAACTGTATTCTAGTTTAAAACCTTTTCCTTGTGATGATGTTTTAAAATAGATGTTAAATGAATCGCTCTCACTATAACGCGAAGATTAATTTGTTTAGATTAAACTGTTGTTCAAATGATCGATCATGATCAAATTGATCCAATCGAAACATTTGCGTCATAGAAAGATAAGTAGAAGAAGTTAGAAATAAAAATGATTTACCTGTAAATATCGAAGGGTTTTTCTTCGCCACAAAATTTGTATAGCGAAGTGGGATAACGGCTTCCCTGTAAACAATATCATATTTTTTTAAGATTAATATCGAAGACGTCAGATCGATTCATAAATTCTACGATAAATTCTAAACGTCAGATCAAAATCTTTAGTCAAATGTTGATAAGACGTAGTGCCCTATACAATTGAATATTCAATTTTAATTGTTAATTTGTTGGTTCAATTTTTGTTTCATTGTTAAATGCTTATTTTTATTATATTTTCTTATGAAACATAAGTATCGATTAATCATACCGTTTCGACATCTATCGGATATTTAATCGTGCCAGAAAAAATGAATTCCTCACCGAACCCATGATCGATATACGTTTGACTCTGTAAGAAAAAAAATGTAATTTGTATTAAGATATTTCGATTATTTATTGAAATTTATTATAATTAATATCTAATTATGTTACCTCGGAATCTACGATTGCCAGATACTCCTCATTGCAATTTTCCGAATTTGTCATATTAAATTCCAATAATCTGACTCGCATTACATTATTATATTCTTTATCATTTTTTAGCTTCCAACGACAGTGAATACCAGGCCCATATGGATTGGGATATCCAGGAGATGTTATATAATTTTTGTTATTTTCAACCATCCGATAGGTCAATCCGCAGGGTGCTGGAAAATTGAATCAATTCGTAAAACATTATTTCGTTTGGTCGACTCGATAAATTCGAAAAACTTCTTACAGTCTACAGCTTCCAAAGTTCCGATTACTCCTGACCCTTCATTGGTACCATCGCTAAAGAATCTTATCCATAATTTATTTGAACTTGACAATATTACTGAAGGTGGTAAAGTTCCACAGATTTTGTTCAATAATTCCGTGAATTGTCCTCCCCCATCGTGAACCTTAAAATATTAATTAATTATCGAAAATGTGTTAACAATGTTGGCATGTTATACAATAGTTCATTGTATCTTACTTCTAAATAATCGTCAGGACATGGTGTAGAAACAGTATAGTTTCTTGAATTGGTTTTAATATCCACACTAGTGATCGTTAATTTAATATTTTTTCCTTCTCCAGTAAAAACTGTCCAATGACAATCTTCTAATGAGTTGTATGTTGCACCTTTTTGAGTTCTAAAATTCATTGATGTGATACTGGTTAAATTGACAATACCACCGCAGCCAGCTGCAGGACTACTACCGAAAATGATCTGAAAATTGATTGTTAAGAAAGTTTAATTAATGTTTAAAATTGATTCGTTTTTAATAATTGAATTATTACCTTCCCAGCGAAACCCTCATGATGTGACGTATAATCAGACATGAAATTTACTACCATGTTATCAGAATCGGTTTTGAAGACGGGTAAATTATTTGTTAGATTGCCACAAACTTTTCCCATTAATTTTTCCGAATCGATTATATCGCTTTCATAAACGGCTACGTAATCGAAGTAGCACCTTAAACAAAACGAATTTTTTGACATATATGTTTTATGAAAAAAAAAGAAAAGGAAACATGAATAAAAAAAATGTTCCTACTCATTGTTATATTCCAAAACAAATTTCTCAAATCGAATTATCACACTTTTATCCTTTGGAGCTTTAATTACCCAAGTGCAATTCATACGACCAAAATATTTGTCCTGATACATCAAAGGTTTTATTTCCGTTGGTTTGGTTATTATTCCACCACAATCTATTTTTATTATTAACGTAGACAAAATTTCATTTTATTAATAATCATTTATATAACTGTCCAAAGTTTTGATGATTAACAATTTAACTTACTACTTGTTTGATACTCGAATTGGAATCCATTTCTTTGAATATATGAATCCGTTTTGAAAATGATCTCCATCCGAGAAATTGATCTTTGCAAACCTGGCGAATTATTACCACACCAAACACTTTCCTCAGAATCGAAATATATTGCATCGTCCCTGATGATCGTCAAATTATCGAAACGGCAACCTCTTTGATTTGATGCTTCAAATAAATGAAACTTATAATAAGTATAAGTTTAAGCATTATTCGTAAATATACTTACTTTGTTCGAGGTCAAAATCAAGAAATTGGACTATGATATCCTTGTCGTCATCAGCAATGAGAGTATAATTGCAATTCAAATCACGCCGATAATATTTCGGATATCCTGGTGACGAAATGATTTTTCTTTCTTCTGTTACTCTGAAAACACCACCACAATTTTCGTTCCAAAGTGCACGAAAACCATCTCCCTGTATGGCTTCGTTCGAACGAAATATAACTTTCATTCGATTACTCGTAGAATTGAATGTCTTTGGTATGTTTCTTCCACAAACTTTACCCAATTCGGTCCAATTTCCATGAATATTATTATATTTTAGTTTCCAATCTAATACCTATGACATTATTGACTTATCAACTTATTTGAAACCTATCTTTGTGTCTATACCAATCTGAACTAAATCGATTTCGAAGTTGTAAATATTATCCTAACATTTCGATGAGATCACTTCAACATACCTGTACGTAATCTTTATCGCAATTATTACTGGTCTCTAAATTGAATCGATCAACGAAGATCAAACCTATATGAAAACCATTTTCCGCCATTATTTCCCACGTGCATTCCGCATTGTTTGGATATTGTTTTGGGAATCTAAAAAAAACAAATAATATAAATATGTTATAGATATTTCTTTTCTATGATAAAAATATATCAATGTTAGAATGAAAAACATTACTTAGGTGAAGCAATCTCTTTGCTGAATCCTCGTAGTGCACCACCACAACCGTGACTTGCTAATTGTAGATTGATTTCGAATTCGCTTGATCCTGGTTCTTCTGCGTAATATTCAATCCATAATTCATTTGAAGTGCTAAGGATATCTGATGGTTTTATATCTCCACAAAAAGTACCGACTTCCGGTGAAGTTGGTCCACCATTTCTAAAAATATTTATTTTCAAATAACAACAGGAAATATTTGCATTTTATTCAATACAACGAGGAGGTAACACATACCTGACTATAATGTAGACGGTTTCGCATCTTTTAACCAAATTGAGTTTGGTGAAGGTAAGATTGATCATTTCACCGTTATCCGCATATTTGACATGCCAGGCACAACTTATAGGATGTGAATTAGTCCAATTCTTTGGTTGAGTTATTGTATGAGATGGGCCTCGTAGAATACCACCACAAGGTGTCCATTGATACATTAGATTGAAATTCATTTGTCTCGAAGACGTAGCACTGCTATTTAATATCTGTTAATTGTTAATGTAAACTCGTTAAATATTTTAAATTAATCGAATGGACAATTTTAATTATTTTTTTTTTTTATGATGAAGTATTTTGAAATATCTCTTAAATAGAATAACTACCGTCAATTTATTCTCAATCAATGGACTTCTAAGATATTTCGGTTTTGTTAAGTTGCCACAAATTTTACCGATGCCTGAACAAAAAATATTTACATTAGAATATTAATAATTTATTAACATGACATTTCTTATCGCATTTACCTAGTAGAGTAATAGAATTGTAAGTGTAACATTTGCCAATATAACCAGTAGCTTTTAGGGTCAGTGTTAATCCTGTTTCATTGGCAGAATTGATTATAAGATCCGGTGGTTTGATCATCCATTCGCATAAGTATGAAGTTGTATTGTAGGGAGCAGATGGTGCTTTAATTTCACCTCCAGAATTGGTAAGTATTCCACCGCAAGCTAAAATGATTCAATTATTAAAACAGAATAAAAAAAAAACCCATTCTCTCCCTCTCTCTTTTTTTTCAGAATTTAAAACGTACGCGCAGGTGCAACAGCCGAATATCGAAGTTTAAAGCCTCTATAACCAACTGGAGCCCAATAACCAATCAACATTGTGTTACCGCTACTTCTAATTTGCGGTACATCTGTATTACTCATTAAGGTTTTAATCCTTGATTTCATACGGAAGTCATTGTAGAACTAGAAAGTAATTTTCATTTTTTCGTATTATTATTCTTATATTTTTGTTTGTTGTTTTCTTATCGACAAGAAAGTAACGGCAGAAAGTTTTAATTACCGATAACGAATAGCTCGCTCTAAATGATTTATCAACGGAATCGAGATCTAAAATATCCACTACAACTTGAAAGCCTAATGGTAATCGAATTCTCCAATCGCAATATCTATAAAAATAATAATAAATTTATATTGTAAAATTAATTGTGTGTATGAATATTATTTATTTTGTAGATTTTATTTACCTGGAACGTGTTCTTAAATTTGGATATCCAGGTGTTTTTATTATACCGGTTAAAGCAGTAAGTACACCACCACAAACTATAAATGATCAGAAAAAAAATAGATTAGCTATTAATTAATACTTAAAAGTTTGTTTAGAAATATATATTTCTTACCCTGTTGGCTGGATGTAAAGTTTAAACTAAAGCCTCTGAAAGGGATATAATCACGATTATCGCTAAATAAAGTTACGAAGGCCTCGTTATAGGTTGTTTCGATGATGTTTGGCAGTTGAGTACCGCAAAATATTCCGATAGTTTCGAATGCTATAACGATTTAATTTAACAATCAAGAAAATGACTGATTTCATTTTGAAAATGATTTAATTGTTATTATCAATTTACCTGTTTCATTGCCAGGAACTTGTTCGGTTATTTCTACGTAATCAGCTGATTTACAATTACGACGAGTTGGAAGATGCAAATCACGGAATTGAATCTTCAAAGTGTGATCTACTGGACCAATTATCCACCATCCACAGTTTTGATTTTTAGGATAAGAGTTAGGATAACCTGGCGAACTAAGAGAACCTTGGGTACCTCTCAGAATACCACCACATGCATCTGTAACATTAATTAATTTATATAGAATATTTGTTTGTTTTATCATAAATATATTATATTAGGAAAAACGTTTAAACGCGAGATTTACCTCCAACTGTAATAAGAGCTTTAAAACCATTATTTGGTTCAGGTATGTCGGTATAAAATTTGATATACATCATGTTCCCTTTCGTTGTCATAGTACTTGGTGCCATGTCTCTACAAAATCGTCCCATCGATAATGAATTGTCCATTCCACCATCTCTTATTTCAACATATTCCTTTTCGCAACTAGATAATTTAAACAATTTTGTTGTTGTTAGATTATCATCATTGTATTGTATTACAATTGTTATACTGTAACGAGAGAGAAAACTTACTTTATACTAGAAGCCAAATCAAATCTTTCTAAGAAATGAATTGCAATTCTTTCACCATCAGTTGCCATGATTTTCCAAACACATTCGGTATAGGGATGTGGAATATTTGGATAATTCGGACTACTTATCTCTAGTTCTTCGATTTCGGCAGACAATACGTATTCGCCACCGCAATTCATACCCTTTTCACTGGTAAATAATTTTTTGCAATAATCATTTATCAAGATAAAAATAATAATGATTAATTTTTTTTGTTTACCTATATTGCAATTTAAACATTAGATTTGTACCGACACCAACAGCACGAATGTAAAGTTTATTTCCAATAGTTTCTAATTGAGTAGACGTAGATGATATTTCTGTACAATATTTTCCATCTCCTAGTAAGGGAGATGAAATATCTCCACCATTTTTCAACTGTAAATTTGACAATATTAAAATATATATATATATATATATTTTATTTTCATTTAAATCTCGTCTCCTTACCATAAGATAATTTACATCGCACGCATTATTAGTAGTTTCTATTTTAGACAAATAATCAATTTTAACTTCTATAGTTTTTCCAGGCCTCACTGTGACGAACCATTCGCAAGAGAAACGCCAACTTCTTATTCCACGTACGTTAGTTTTATTGTTGATTTCGATAATACCATTTGGTCCCGATAAATCTCCACCGCATTCTATTATTAAACAATATATGTGAAATATTAATTTAACATATTATAATTAACAGGAATATTTCGCTTGTCATGATCTTTCAAAGTTACATAAGTAAAACGATGAATTTTGAATGAAATAAAAATTGATTCACCTCTGTAAACTCGAGCAGAGAAGCCCGTTTTGTTTAAATAAGAATCCGAAACAAATTTAACCGTCATAACATTTTTCGTTTTTATCGTGTTCCAAGTGGCATTGGAAAGACATAATTTTTGTTCTAGGACACTATTCTCCTCCGAAGTCAATGCATATCCTGAATAAATGGCTACGTAATCATAAACGCAATCAGTACTTTCTTCTAAATTGATCATGTTTATTCTAATAACGAGATGAGTTCCCGGAGGTGAAGTGAAAATCCAAGTACATTCAAGATTGTCTTCGTAACCATTTGGCCAACCAGGAGACCAGAATGAATAACTATTATTTGTGTTACTCATCAAAGCCACTTCTTCGGTACACTTCGATACTATAAATATGAAATTTCGTAAATTTAATTATATTATGTAAGATAAGTTAGATAAATCTAATCGATTTACATTTAATTTTTTTTAATTCCTGTTCTTCGATTACATCTTTTGGTATTTGTAGCCAATTAAGATCAAATTTATCACCAGATAAAATGGAAAAAGCTTCCATGACGATATAAGCAATGTTACTCGAAGTGTACAATGATGCAGGAGTCGTGTAAGAACAATGTTCCAATAAGATAGTTGCTTCATCATTGTAACCATCGTAGATCTGAATAAAAATCGTTCATTATTGTATCGTTTTAACATCATTGTCATGAAACTTTTTTTTTTAAGATAATTACCTTCAATGAACTAGAACACGAGGATATTACGTTCTGCATGTATACTTCTTTGAATTCGAATTGAATGACATATCCGACTTCGACGGTAATTCGCCACCAAAAAGTACCTGCATTTTTATAAAATAGAGGATATAACGGCGAGGTAATTCTACCGGTTGGACCATAAAGTTCATTTCCTGGTAAGAAACTATAATCTGCTAGAAATCCTTGAGCTGCACTTTCGGCATCGCTTTTGAATTTGATCCAAAGTATACTCGAGGATGTGATCGGATCGATTTCTTCACCACAAAAAACTCCTAATAGTTTACCGATTCCATTCTCTTCGCGAATTTCAAGATAATCCAGGTCACAATTATCGCTTTGTTGGATATTAAACACGTTGAAAGTTATACTTATTCTGTTTCCTGGTGAAGTATTTAAAATCCATATGCACTCGGAATTCAGGGGATATGAATTAGGATAATTCGGTGATGCGATAGTCCCGTGTTCAGATGTATAATTTCCACCGCAAGCTATAAAAATAAAAATAATTTTCATTGTGGTTTTCAAAGAGTTCGAAACATTTGAATTATTATTCTATCTTACCAGAATTCAATACGCTATAAGTAGCGGAAAAATCGCTATGGAATTTTATTGACGTGTATAGGTGAACAGTTAGAGCACTTCCGGTACTCGTTATGGGAGGAGGTATTTTGTTATTACACCATTTTCCAAGAACAGGCCCATCCATGTCTTCCCCTTCGATTACCTGCACGTATTCCAGTTTACACCCTGGATCTATCAAATAGTTATCAGCTATACCTATTAGGCGCATCGGGTTGATATGCAGGTGGGTGAATGTTAACGTCACGTGATCGGCTAAAAGTAAAATTGAATGTATACATTTGGTTATGTACGCGAACATACTTACAATTAAAGAATATGTTCTTATTATTTGTATACGTGTCAACTCACCAGGATTTTCTGCTATTAGTATCCAAGTGCAGTTTACTACAGAAGTTTCCATATTGTCGCTGGATCCTGTGATGAATCCTTGATCCTTAATTATTATACGAGCACCACATGCTGTTTTATACGTGGCTTTGAATCCTTTTGCAGATATTATACTATCACTTCTCATAACTATTAACATTTCGTTACTTGTCGATACGTATGAGGGAGGAAGCTGATTTCGACAGTGAGTACCCATCAAGTAACTGTCTCTGCTTGGTCCATCGAATATCTTCAAGAAAATATAGATAGATGTTCAAACAAAATGAATTTTTTTACATGTAGAGATACTTTTTTCGTAATCGTACCTTAACATAATCGTCGGTACAATTTCTGCTGTCCTCTATATCGAAATCCTCAAACGTAACGTTTACCACGTGATTTTTGTCAACTTGTAATAACCATTCGCAGTTTTGATTATGGGGATAATTGAGAGGATAATTGGTTGTATGAATGACACCAGAATTAACTGTAAATCTTCCACCACATTGCAGAGGAATACTTTTGTAGCTAGCTTTAAATCCGCGAAGAACGAAAAATGAATTCGTGTTGAACGTGATGAATAATTTGTTACCGGAACTAGTGTAAACGACCGGTTTATTGGAATAACATAATTCGACCAATTTCGGTGCATTTTCATCTTCCCCACCGTAGATTTTTAATGATTTGAAAGTACAAGTCACTTGATTTTCGATGTTTACCTGATATAATAAAAGAAAAAGATTATAATAATGATTGAAACAATTTGTAAGCATTACAAATTATTAATATTTGACTTACATCGAGTAACGTTAGTTCAACACTATGCGTGTAATCAACTTCGATAAGCCATTCGCATCTGAGTTTACTCTTATATCCCAAAGGATAACCGGGAGAGGTAAACGTGTCCGAAGGTTTAGTCAGGTGTCCACCACAACCATCGACCATCCATTCCAATCGAAAACCATTGTGGGTTGCATAAAGGTCGGTAAAGAAATTGATAAAAATTTGATTTTGCGACGAATGAATTTTCGGAGGAAGATTAGCCGAGCCACAAAATTTGCCAAGTTCGCTGTTAGCCAAATTATTCATGCCCTCTTTAATCTCGAGATAATCGTAATTGCAGCTATTGTTTTTCATTGGTCCTTCCACATCGAAATGAGAGAAAGTTAAGTTTATTTTGTTACCGATCGGTGCATTGATTATCCAACTACAATTTTTCGAGTTTTCGTATTCGTTCGGGAAGTTAGGTGATTCTATGACACCTCGGAAACCGTTTAACGTGTTGTGACATTCTGAGAAAATAATGAGAAATTTGATTATGAATTATGATTATCAAATTAAACTTTATAATGAAATTAGTATTAAAGTGTTTTATATTGAATTTGTAATGCATACTAGTGTCATATTGTATGTGAAAACCACGAGATGATATAGTAAAATCGCTACGGAAACGAATGGTCACTATGTTAGATGTTGTATTTATGATCTGTGGATAAACAGAACAATATCGTTGGACATTTCGTGTACGAGTAGTGCCTTCGGATATCTCAACAAAATCGTATCTGCATTTTGTATGATGTTCCAAATCGAAATCAACTACAATAAGTTGTACTGTACTGCCTGCGGCAACAACGATTCTCCAAATACATTCAGCATTATGCCCATATGGTTGGGGATAATTCGGTGATACAATATCACCTTTGGCAGACTTTAATATTCCACCGCATCCTAAAAAATTTCAAAGTAAAATGATATTAACAAAATAATGTATTGTTCTTTTAAATATTTATGTTTGAACTAACCTTCCGCTGTGTTATCCCAATCAATGCTAAAACCTGTATCCGTATTTGAATCGTCAGATACGAATTTGAGAAATAACTTATTCGTTTGACTGACTATTTGATTTGGTGTCTCTATACCGCAGTATCGTCCAATCAAAGGTGAACTATCGTAACCACCGTTTCTAAAATATATTAATAGTTTATTTTAATTTCATGAAAAGATAAGATATTGTTGAAAAAAAAAAAATAAATGAAAACTCTTGTCATTGCATTTAACCTTATTTCCAAATAATCGAACATGCAGTTATGATGACCTTCCAGTTCGAAATCATTGAATTTAAGGGTAACTTTATGTCTATTGGGTGCTTCGAGTACCCATACGCATTCCCTTGAACGCGGATAGTTTCCTGGATAGTTGGGAGATCGGATAACACCACTTTGTTGTAAGTAATAACCACCGCAAAATTTGGAAGCATCGACAAAGACATAGTTAGCCATAAATCCGTTTTGTGTAATACTCGAGTCGGTTTCAAAATATATCACCATCGTTCTGTCTCGTGTAGTGAGAATGGGTGGTTTATTATTGCCACAATAACTAAAACAATCGTTTCAATAATACTTGATATAATAAATCACATTCTATCTATTAATCAATAATAAATGAATAATATATATATAAAAATCAGACTAACGTTCCCATATGACCATCTTGAGATTTAGAAATATTTTCATAAATGCTAACATAATCATTTCTACAACGTGTTTGATATTCGAGTTCGAATAACAACCAAGTGAGTTGTACCAAGTATCCTGGAGGTGCCTGAATAATCCAAGTACATTCTTCGTTATTTTCGTACATACCGTCTTCATTCGGCGATTGAATTATTCCAGTAGAACTTCTGTAGAATCCACCGCATTCTTAAGACAAATATGTTCATATCAAAATTCTTTCCCCCCCGTATCATCATTTTTATTCGCGGTAGTAACAATCTTAATAAATATTGATTTAACTTACTGCGATCTATGGATGTGTAATTAGCTTTGAAACCATGACCATGGATGGTAGTATCGCTTGTGAATTGGAGATACATGAAATTGTGGGTGGAATAGAATGGTTCGGAGGGTATAAGGGTGCCACATAGAGTGGCGAGATTAGTGGAATTTTCGTTATCACCGTCGAAAATTTGAAGAGAATCAAAATAACAATCGGTAGACATTCCTTCTATGTCCAGATCGAGAATAGTTAGAACGATGGCTTTGCCTGGTGGTAAAATAATTTCGTAGATGCAAGTTTTAGAGGCATGATAAGTATTTGGGTACAAGGGAGATGTAATGACACCCGTTAATTCGGTAAATTCACCGCCACATAAGACTTCGTAAGTCAAGGCAAATCCTTCCATTTCGAATGACCAATCACTCGTGAAAACTATTATAACATTGTTAGAATTTGATTTAATAGTCGGTGGCATATTATCCCCGCAATATCTACCGATCAATGGCGAATCCGTACTATCTCCATCGTAAATCTGAAACATTTAGTTGTCTTCTTTGTAATCCTAATTTTCTTGATTTATTATGATATATTAATCCTAAGGATTTACCTCGACTGCATCAAAATGACAGCTGGTAGAATCTTCAAGATTGAATTTTTGCCAAGTGATTTTCATTTTTTCACTCGGTGGTAATTGTATTTTCCATTCGCAATTCATGTTTGCTCGATAAGACGACAAAGAACCAGGAGAATGTATCGAGCCAGTATCCGAAGTAAAAACACCACCGCAACCAGGTATACCTGAATATAAAATTTATATTTCAAATATAAATGTCTCATCAATTTTATATTTTATGCCTATAATATATTTAAACGCTCACCTTCTACTGTTGAATAATGAATTTGGAAACCAGCATCTTGACCAGAACTGTCGGAATGGAAATAAAGAGTAACTTCATTACCAGGTGCAGTTAAAGGTCCTGGTCTGCTATGATTACAATAACGACCAAGAATTTCATCGTTGTTCGTTGTGATCTGTAATATAAAAAACAATATTAGTATCCTATTTAGGAAAGAATTCATTTTGAAATAAATAGATACAAACTAGGACAAAATCGTATTCGCATGTAGCGTGTTCTTCGAGCATCAATTGTCCGAAATGCAATTGTATTCTTTTTCCTTCTTTTACCGATATATGCCAATAACAATCTCTGTTAGAAGGATATCTTCCCGGATAACCAGGTGACGTTATTGTACCATAATCCTCTTCAAAATATCTACCACAGATCGGTTGGATCGTATTCCAATGTAAAACGAATCCATCGTGTGCTACGCTACTGTCCGAGTGGAACCAGAAATACAATGAGTTGTGAGATGAAATGATGTTTCCATTTTTATTGGGTAGAGTGTTACCACAAAATCTGCCTATCATATGGCTACCAGCATTTCTACCATCGTGTATCTAAAAATAAATGTACAGATTTCGTTATTATAAATAATATTATTTTCTATTTACTCTAGTATCTCGATCATTAATATCTTTTTTACCTGAAGAAAGTCAAATTTACAATCGACCGAATTTTCCAAGTTAAAACTCGTAAAAGTGACATTCAATACTTGAGTAGAATTGGTCACTAAAACCCAAGCACAACTAAGTCCATGTTGGTAAGTGGTTCCACCAATAGGAAACTCTAAATGGCCGACAGGATTTCGAGATACACCACCGCAAGTTTGTCGTTGCGTTTCACATCTGGTGCCTGTGTAAGAGTTAGGACAATCGCAGGTCACTGCACCATTGGAGACAATGCAGACTCCATTGTTCTTGCAAGGATTAGGTGCGCAGAGATCGATTTGAGTATTGCACGTTGTTCCTGTATGTTATATTTATTTGTAATTTATTTTGAGATAAAATGTTTAATCGTTACGATATCGAATACCTAACAATTAGATGCTGATTGCAGAATTGCATAAAAATGACAATTATACCTGTGTATCCAGTATCACATCTACAGATAAATCCTTCGTAAGTTGAGATACACGTGCCATGAACGCAAGGACGATTAGCACATGAATTATTCGATATTTCAGTTGCAGGCCGACACCCATTCGGACCAAGTCCGTCACCTTGGTATCCTGTTGGACACCGACATTGCACGTAAGAGCTGGTAAGCGCAGGATTTTCGATGCAGGCTGCTAAAGGGTGACAACCACCGTTATTAATCCTACAAGAACCAACATAGATACAGGAAACTCCATCGCCGTGGTATCCTGGAGGACACGGACCGCAAACCCTTGATCCCTGCGTAACGATAATTGACTTTACATTCTTCCATTTAAGCTTTCGGTTTAAATGGGATTCCGAAGGATTTCTATTACGAAATAATTTCGTTTCATTAACTCTTCGCGATTTGGTTAAAATTAATTAAGTTTGTGTAGAGTTTTGTTGAATTAACGATGAATTCGTTAAGTTCATAATTCATTCGATTGAAATAATAATTGAATCTATTATATTTATATAATAAATTGATTCTTACCATAGTATTAATACATTGTACTCGTGGTGCGTTACTGCATCCCCCATTATCTTCCAAACATTCGTCGATGTCAGTACAATAATAACCATTTCCGGTATAACCTCGTGGACAGGCGCCGCAGAAAAATGTACCAGGTGCGTTGAAACACATGACAAGTGGGTTTACGGAACATGGTGGATGTTTCGCCGCACATTCGTCTACGTCCTTTGTGCAAGCTGGATTCGTACCATCGGTTTCCCATCCCTCAAGACACAAATAATGTTTTATCAAAGTATAAATATTAATAGAATATTTTATAATATTTTAACATACTTGATCGCAAAGACAGGTGTAACCAAGGAGGTTCCCAGGTTTCGGGACACATACACCGTGTCCACAAAGTTCTTCAGAATTTTGCCTGCTACAAATGGCGACTCTTTTTGTACAATGTAATCCATACCATCCAGTTTGACAATCACATCTAAACGATTAGGAGAAATTTTTAAATGATAGTAATCAAAAGAAAGTAAATTAATATTACATACCGATAAGATCCAGGTAAATTAATACAAGTTGCTCCGTTTTGACATCCTAAATCTGTGCCAAGAAATCTAGCACACTCATTTACATCCGTCATGCAATTAGGTCCCTAAACAATATTACATAATTACGATATAATAATTAGATTGAAAGTTCGTAAGATCTATTTGTAGCAAACCATTTTACCTCCCAACTAGGAAGGCATCGGCATTGGTATCCTTCGTAAAGATCTTGACAAATACCACCATTTCCGCAAGGATTACTTTGACAAGCATTTTCTTTTAGCTTTTTCTCGATATTTTGCACGGTCTCTTCTAATCTTCGTAACTTCATTTATTAACAAATCATAAAACAATTGTTTTTTCTTTCTTTTTTATTTTACTCTTTCGTGTTTATTTAATGAAATTTTATACTTACTCTTTCATTAGTACGACGTATACCATTTCTCGTAAAATTGTCATCCTGTGTAAATAATTAATATGTAAAATAATTGTCTAACAAATATAATTGTATAATTAAGTTCGCAAATAATAGTTGATCGAATTACCCATTGCTTGCTCGGTAAACGCGAACTGTTCCCTCCAGTACCTTCCAACATAGCAATCCTTCTTTGCAAACCTGTAGGACCTTCAACGAGATTGATTAGCCTTACAAGATTATCCTCCACTTGAACGAGATAACCAGCTCTCAATCTTTCAAACAAACGTGTCGCATTTTGTGCCTGAAGAAAAGGAAATCTTTAATCTGAAATCTCATATCTGTCCTTTTATGCTTTTTAAGAGAAAATATATAAAGCTCACAGCCAAAGCGACGTGAAGTAAATTAATTTCATTAACGTTGATATAACCGCTACCTAATACTTTAAGAGTAATATTTCTATCCTTTGCGCTGGATATTATCAAATTACCATCTTGTGCCTCGAGAACTGGCCTAAAGAAAAACAATATTAATATCATAAAGAGTACGCTAAAATAAATCTCTTAATTAAAAAATTCGAAAGAAAAAGTATTTACCTTTCATCCATCCACGCAAAAGTCAATCCCAAATACAGCAATATGCTGAACAATATTTCCATCGAAGCCATTTCGTTCGAATAGACACACAAAAAACAGACCAATATTTATTTGAACATTTCGTCTATCCGTTTTTCGAAGATCCTTCCTTGAAAATCGTTTTTGATAGACTGTGCCAGATTGAAGCACGGTATTGAAAACAACTATTACTATCATCTTCGTTCCAATCGAGTGGGCGTTTTAGAAGATATTTATCGAGCTCCTCCCATTATTGAATTACATTCATTTGGAAGCGTCAATTGTAATACATAAATCAAAAGATATCTAAATAGAAATGAGATTGAAATTATCTTTATACGAATTTCAAAAATTGATTTAGTATTATAATATTAATCATATAACGAGAGCAAGCCAACTTATAATCATTAAATTATGCATTCTATATTTGCATATATATCAATATTCATGTGGATACTTTCATATATATCGATAAATGTAAATGACCATATATATAATATATAACTATATATATATATGCTATAAATTGTATAACTTTGCTATTTCTTTGAAAAGTTTTGGTAAATATTTTTTATGCTAAAAGTGAATAGATTTTAATGAAACTTATATTAAATTAAAGTAGACTCTTTCGTCTACACGTAGAACATCATATCGAGTTATAAATTTAGCATGTAAAGTTCAGGAAATGTCAGAGAGTGCAATGCTGTAAATTGTGCATCTTTGCCATTTCTTTGAAAAGTTTCGGCAAATATTTTGTATACTTTTAGCAAATAGATTTTAATGAAACTTATATTAAATTAAAGTACACTTTAATATTCTATAGGATATATCAAAGCATTATGTTCGATGCTTAGAAAAAACTCTGTAAAAAGTCATATTTCCGACTTCGTCGGAAGGCGCTTCGCATTGATAACAATGCTGAGGAATTACTAGCAATGACTGATTTCCGGTCTCGACGCAAACATATATATATATATATTGATTCCATAGATACCCCATATGTGCATATCGATGAACACATTAACAGGTACATATAATATACTTCTATTCGTATATACGCTTTTACAAATGAAAGTTTCTCAAAGAACTCGTCAGTTTATCCGAAAAAATGTCTGAATTTGATGGAAATTCGAATTTAGCGCATTGTATGGTGTCGCTATTGGTTGTCGGTAGGGGGAGTGGTTAGTTGCGATGGTGGCGGTGCATAGCGATAAACAATGAAAGTTTTGTACTCGGCGCGTCGAGGTGAGGCATCAGTGATGCGCGCTGCGCCGGCAATACACGGCAATATACGGGAATATACAGCAGTATGCCAGTATGGCTTTGGCTGCCGGCGGGTTCGCGTTCTTCATGTTTTTTCTTGGTAACGGGCCGCGTACTCGGCCGCGGGTGTGCGTCTTCTCCTGAGTTTACATTTTCTGACAGATAGAAAGAGAGAGAGAGAAGGAAGACTCTTCGAAACAATCACCGGAGAAAAAAAATCGAATCGTGATAGAAAAAGGGCATTCGTTCGAAGGGAGAGAGAGAGAGAGAGAGATACGCACACATTTACATCACACAATAAAAGATAGAGAGACACAACCACCCTTGGACATGCGGCGAAACGTGAAAATAGTGCTCCTTCTGTCATGCGCCTGGATGTTCGCTTTTGTTTACTACTATCACACGTCCAGAGATACCAAGGTAAGAATATAAATATAAATACTTATTGTTAAATTTGTTTTTTTTTTTTATTAATAAATGCTAATAATAATGAATATCGCAATGGTATTAAATTTAACATTCGTTGATCTTTTTTTATGTTATTATTTATCATACGTTATAATATGATACATATTATATTATATCCTTTGTATTATTATTCTTTTTAATTATATTGTATCTGTTATTTTTGCCCCTGTAGTTTTTAATTATTCTTTTAGCCTCTTCTTTCGATTCCTGGAATTCGAGGGTGTATCGATTATTAAAGAGACACTACTTTGCTTTCCATGCGTGTCATCTCTCCAAAAAGGAACGGTAACATCGTCTTTGTTTAAAAGATATTTATCGGAATTTTTCGAATATTTCGAATTTCATTTAACAATGATATTCGTTGAGTCACTTCTCTTCTCTTCTCTTCTCATGTTTTCAAATAACGCATGGGAACTCGTCGGGGTGTACGTGACACGTGCTTTTACTTTCTCAATTCGCATCGATTTCCGATCGATGGTCAAATTCCTAGTTATTTTATTGAATTCTATCTTTTTCAATGTAAATACTTATCATATCTTGAATGCAACTTGCAATTTTCTACTTTTCAAACAACCTAAACTTATCATTATATCGTACGAAAACGTTTTTGAAGTGAAGAAAGTTACAATGGATACAATGTATTTTATTTATAATAAATAATTCGATTATAAAAAAACGATTTTTCGAACAATTCGATTATCCCGGGGGGGGGGGGTGGAGGCGAATAAATTGCATCAAAGCGAAAAATAACTAATTGACGTACTGTTATAATTAGTCGAGAAAAGTCAGGCATTATAACGAGCAAAATTCTTTTGTAACAATTGTATACAATAAATCTAGACTTATCGATATTATATCCAAGTATTGGAAATTTCGTTCGAAATTATTGGATTACTTTTTTCCAAATTTTTTTTTAACGAGATAACTTTATTCAAATATTTCACGTTTAATACAATTACTATTGATTTGTTTGTTTGTTCGTCTTGCTTGTTTTTCATTTTAATTATACAGTTTTTTTTTTTTAAATATAATCGACGGATTATATCACATTCAATCGAATTTAAAATCGCATACGAAATAGTGTCAATTATTAATGCTAACATATATATATATATTTATTTACCGTAATCGAGCGAAAAATTCTTCGAAGATGAAATTCGGTCGAACAAAGATCCGGTAGGAGAGTTCGATGAAACGAACCAGTTCCAGACGAGTTCTTGCTTTGCGTGCAAATGATCGCGTGTTTATCCTCTGTGTCGTTTTTCAATGTACTTCTATCTCTCTTTGTCTTTATTTCAGGTAAAAAACAATCTTATAGAATAATCAATTTTACAGTTAAATACAAAAATTATGAAATGTTTTATATATATATTCGATATTCTTGTCGAAATAATTTATACAAATTCGATTTTATATAAATTTACCTTTTGCAATATAGAAGTCACATAATTCGAGAGGAAAAAAAAGAAATCTAAACGATTACATCAATGATAAATAAATAAGATTAGAAAATACCTATGTAATAGGATAAATCACGATGTAAATTTGACTGAAGACTAATTTCCTATTTCGTCTAACTCGTAACAGCCTTTCGGCGTATCAGAAATCGTTCTTGACGTCACACGAAAATAGGATTTACCTTAAAGAACATATAGAAGATAATACGTATACATATACATATGTATGTATGTATACATAAACATAAGACCGTTTCGAGAACTAGGAGATCCGATGGAATACCTTGTACTTACCTGTGCCATGAATCCGATTTAATCGCACCTTAGAAGCGAGGTGAAAGTTATTCTTCTTCGGGAACTATACTTCGGTGGATATTATGGATTAGAAAATATTTCTCTTTTACACATTCATTTACAAAGGGGAAAAAATAAAAAAAAAAACAGATATTTGAAATATTATGTCTTATATAATTATATTATCAATTTAACATATCCATCAAAATACAACTTTAATTAATTGTATATTAGTTATAGCGATTTATTCGAAAAGTGTGTACCTAAATTATGTCATAAAAATGATGCAATGACGTGTATACTCGTCAAACATGAAATTGTACAATTAGAATTTTACATGGGACTTAATACACCACTTTCAAAATTAACGATTCAAATGATAATTGTTTCGTCTAATAAAATCATTCGATTCGAATCCATCAATTGTTTCATCATAGCAAACCTACTTTAGCTAGCACAATTTCGAAGTAATTTCTGGTATCGCGTAGAACTTTCTATCATAGAGAAGCGTTTCTACGACATTGGTGCAACGTTTTAAGCGTTGACGCGCTAATGGAGCGAACTAATCGCGTTAACGTGCCGAATACGATTTGGCCATTAAACCCGAAAGCCACAATCGACGTTGCTCTCACTCATTGCTTCTACTTCGATGACGATTACATCGTTGACGTTTACAGTATTACGAATTTACACATAACATTTAAATTCGATTACATGAATCTTTATTTCAGATTTTTATTGTTTTTATATGCATACAATTTTTATTGTATCAAATTATTTTACAAATTACACCGAGACAATTTAGAAAGAACGGTAATGGTAAATAATTAACTTTATTTTTACATTTAGTAAGTAATTAACGTTCCTTATACATAAAACAAAACAAACAAACAAACAAACTTGAATCAATTATTTCTATTTCTCTTTCTATACTTCTCGTTTGACGACATAGCTAAAAATGAACAAAGTCGGATAATTGTAAAGAGTTGATTTCTTTATCCCTACAAACTTTGTGATTGTTGTTTGCCTCTTTAGGAAATTAGGGATGAACCGTTCCAGAACCGGTTTCAAACGAGCATCATTCCAGTGACCCGATTCGTATCAGATCTCTATTTGGTAAGATTGCGATCAAGATTATTAATAGGAAGTATTACACGTATGCACAAATTCCCAAATCTTTTTCATATACATATATAAGTAAAAATGCAAGAATATTTTCTCATGGAAAACGGTATGTTGTATAAATTTAAGGTAAAAGATGTTTATTCTTCAAAAAGTTTCTTTTCATGTGTTCTTTCTTTCTTTCATGTATACGTGTTGGTTATATAGATATATCTATAAAAACGTATGTAAACTCCACCCATGTATGTAAGTTCTTCTTGACCCTTGATAAATTCATGGGACCACCAACAGACGTGCGACGAGAGATAAAGAAAATTGGAATAAGGAATAAGAAATGACACTAATTTTTTTCCTTTATTTTCCTTTGGATTAAAGTTTGACAGTAGAATGATTTTAAACTAGTTTTTCTATTTTATTTCTTTCCTAATTTTCTACATTTACCGAAACAACCGCGGTAGAATTAGCTTGGAATCGTAGTGGGAAACTGAAATTTGAAATGTTTCAACAAAAAGATAAAAGAGATTCCTTCTCTCTATCTCTTTCTTTCTTCCTTTCTGTATATCTCTACAACACGTAACTAACAGGACGTACCATTTTATCGAGGATATAGAAAGACAAAGGTACAATTCTTCGTAGACCGAGAGAAATCCGGACTAATTAACGCAAAGTGTTGGCAAACGGTTTTAATCGTAGTATTTTCTACTATTTCCTATTTTTCATAAAAATTGATATCTATTTAAGCGTCTTTTAATTTATCCAACAATATTGTTTGTGAATTATTCGTCTTTTAATCCTTTGTGAATTACTTGTATTTTTTTAACTCGCGAAAAAAAATGTAATTAAAAAAACAAAGCAATAGAAAATAATTTATCGCAACTGGACAAAACGAAATTTCAATTGAAATTGCTTACGTTTATTAATATCCTAGTACGAGTAAATCGATACAAATCCTGCTTTCCCATCCAACGAACGAACACTTTGAAATTCTACTCGGCATTGTAATGGCACCGCTTTGTTTAAAGGTAAGGGATGAATGACAGAAGATTAATAGAAGAGCGTAGTTGTATCGTGGAATATGTTCTGAGTCGGTGCCAGTACTTGGTAAGAGACTAAAAGGAGCCCACAGAAAGCTCATTTACTTAATTTACATGCTGGTAGTTAAGCATTATCGATTTTCTACCCAGTATCTGTCTTCAAAGCTTTTCCCCGAACTTATTCGAGGATAAGATATAAGATTTTTGATGAATTTTACTTTATATAAAAACGATTGAATTTTGTAACTTTGATTCTCGACATAAAATGTGACAGCAAATGTTTTTGGTTTGTTTTTTTTTATTTTAACTTTGAACAGTTTTCGAATTAAATATTCAAGTTTTATCTCATCAATGTTGAATTATAACAAATAAGAATTTGTTTGTAACTTTAAGAATATTCTTCAATTTATAGAAAGAGAAACAAGTAAAGGAATAAAGTAAAACTTTGAACCGAAGCGAATAGTAAATGATAGAAACGATAAAAGTTACTGGTAAAAGCGAATAAGAGTAGGCGGTGTGTCTTTAATAATTAATGTTACTCGAAAAGTAGATATTTTTGAGATCTTGGAAAGTTTGAAAGCATTATTAACTATGTAACTCGGTTGTGTTTCAACTTCTCTTTCTCTTTCTTTCTCTTTTCTTCTTCATCTTTCTATGGATATCTATTTTCGTTGAACAGAAAATATATTTCTCTTAGTTCTAATGCTTTCCAAACGAAAATTCATAACGAAAATTATCTAGTGATTAAAGTATGTCATTTTGTTTTTTTTTTCATATTTCAATTGTTAAGTTCAGTTATTTCATGAATCAACGGATTTTTTAACAAATTAACGTTAACATATACACAAAATATACATATTTACATTTTGTAGGCAGGCGTAACGTATGCTAACATTTCGACGTAATTGGTCTGATTACACCCCGGACGAGATTTGTTACTGAGCAAACGTTTTCTCGTTTCCCATGGATACAGCATGCACGATTATATCGTACGCGACGGTATGGTGTTAGCGAGAATGTAATGAGTTGGTCACATTTGCGGTCACGTATCGCACAAATTTTTCGTCAGTTTTAACATCTAACCAAATTCTAGAGAGAAGTATTATACTATGATAGTTTATATAGTATGGTAGATTTAAATAGTAACAGATCTTTTATTTTTGTCTAGTGTATTTTTAGCAACATCAAGAAGACTAGTAGTAATCTTTCCACTTTACGATATTCTCCCTAGGTTCTAACATTTTTCTTTTTTTTTTTTTCCATATTTAAATATTACATAAGATATATCACGTGTATAGTAATATTTTATGTTACTTTTATTTATTTATAAACGTATGTATTATTTTCGTCGTAAAGAATTACAAAGATACGCCCATCCCTCATGGTTTTTTGTTTCTCTTTTTTCTTTTTTTTTGATCGGAATAAACAAGAAAAGTTTCGTTGAACGAGAGTCAAGATTTTCAAGGGAAAGAAATATTTTCTAGCTACGTCAAGAAAGATAGGTAGACATATATATATATATATAGGATACGTTTGTGAATTTTTCTTCTTATTCTCGTATTCGGAAATACATTGATGTTGAAATCAACGTAACTTAGTTCTGGGAAGGCGTTTTCTATAAATATGAAAAGGAAAAGGATAAAAAAACAGAAGTCAGGGGGGTTTGTGACTCGTCGAAATGAAGTTTTTCGTTGGTAGATTTATGCAACATTTGTTTTTTCTCGTATTTAAAGGAAAGGAAGGAGAAGAGGGATTATAAGGAGTCATGGGATCGAGGGGGATGAAACTTTTGAGGGTAGGAAAATATTTTTCCCGGTGAAATACCTGCGTGATATCTGCGAGAAAGTTTCTTGCATCGAGGGTCTTTCCGTTTAAATGTGTGCTGTTTGTGAAAGAGGAAAAGGGATAGAAAAAGAGAAAAGGACAGAGTATTAAGGTGATTGTGGTGGTGGTAGTGGTAGTTGAAAGCAATGTAAAAACGAGGGATGCGCTTTCGTGCGTATATCTAGTTTATCTACATATATATATATATATTTGTGTGTGTATGTATAAGCACCTCCGGGAATGCACCGAATACCGCACTGCGCACTATTTATTCCTTTTAATTTTATTCTCTTCACCTCCAACCGTTCTCACGTTCGTGAATCACAATTAAATAGGATCTTCTTTTTCTTGCGGTCGTATCTAATAAAAAAACAAAAAACAAATACTTCTATTTTGTTTGTGTTACTTTCATTCACGAATATTCGAAAACCGAAAAATATCGAAGTTTCATTAATAAATTTGATAGTCTTCTTACGATTTGTCCACACATTCGTATTCTTTTTTTTTATGATTCAGGTAAGAAATTAATAAGTACGTATGAAAATAGGTATGGATAATTAAATTTCGATGAGAAAGAAGGTTAACGTATGCACGTTTTACTTCCTCGTTGCAATAAACTAAACAGTTAGAATACTCTCAGGGAATTGAGAATAATTGTAATGGGAGCATTTCATTTCGATTTCATCTCCCAACTGAAATTCAAAGTTAAGTGAAAAACCTTTAAATTTTTAACGTATTCGTTCGTGTTATATTAGACATTTATTAAAACGAAGGAACTCTTCTTAAATTTCATTCGTTCATCGTGAAAGGGTATTATCTTAATTTGAAATTTTCATTGCAAATGAATTTAGAAAACTAGTTTAAGTGATCGCGAAATTTTATAGTAGAAAGTGATCATCTAACTAAGAGAGAGAGAGAGAGATATACGATAAAGAAACTTTAATACTTGCCATGTTTTTTTTTTTTATTTCTTCTGTGTGTTTTATAAATGGCCGAAGCGAAAGACTAGAAAAAGAAAGTAATATTACATACGGTTAAGAAAGAACCGCAATAATTTCAGTGAAATTGGAGTCTTTCTCGTGCGTTTCACGCGACGCGATCTTCCTCCTTCCTGAGAGATTTGTCTTTAACAATGAACCGTGGATGCATAGATCGTGATAAATGACGGTGCCACGGGTTGAGTTAATTTTTAACCTTTCTCGTAGGCGAAGAGATTTATCGTCCCAGTTTTTATATATATATATATATATATAGAGTCGGTGTAAAAGAGTAGTAAAAGTTACCATAAATAGCAACAACACAATAAAAATAAATTACGTTCCTTATTTTCTCGTAGTTGTAAAATTTGTAACGTCTTCAATTAACCAATACGTTAATTTTATTATATGACTACAGAAGAACAGATCTTTTTTTTTTTTAAATAGATATATATTTCTAAATAAATCTTTGAATTTTATTTTTTTTTTATCTTTCTTTCTCTCGTTGACGTTGTTTCTGGACAATGTGAATCACGCATGCGAAAATACCAAGATTGGAATTAAGGTCATGTCCGAAGGAAGAGATGATGTCGCAAAGCCTAATTAAAATTCATAGCGAGACCACACCTGCCCTTTTCAAAGATTGCGTTGATGAAGTGTAGCTCAGTTACCTTTGGGCGACAAAAGACTGCAAAGTCTGAGTTCGAATCTATTATATAATGCTCATATGATGTACGTATATATATTTTATAATGTTGTATTACATAGTTAGTAAATAACTAGTAACGTTGACACAACGAAGCTTCTTATACAAGGAGGATGATCGAAATACGCGTTTTCGTCGAATTTGTGTTGTTGAAAATAATTAAATACCGAGTACGATAATTCTCCACTAGGGCAGCGTTGCTTTTCGGAAGTTCAGATTTAAGTACGTGTGTGATTTTATAAATAAACTAATGAAACAAATAATTCTATTTGATGGTTATTGTTTTAATCACGATGCCTTCATTTAATTAAGGATTAATTCAAGAATTAGGATTCATTTTCTTACAGCTCAAGAGGTTATGTTATATTGTTGATTTTGTGGTTTACTGTTTAAGGTAACTGCTAATTACATTTTACATGCAGTATTATTCCATTTTTTTACAGATATATAGGA